GAGATCATGTGGACCTCAATTAAGGTTCTGGTTGTAGGGACAGACAAAGAAGTGAATTCTAGAAGAGCTAGACTGAAGGACTCAACAGAGAATTTCCACTCATTACTACCTACATACCTATTCATACCCATGTGCATTGTACCCAGGACTCTGCCCTTTACCTGTTAACCATGGATAAACTCTCCATGTTTTGGTCTAAAGCCATTGCTTTCATTTGTGTACTAGATTCCATCCCTGTCACCTACTCAAGGGCATTGCATCAACAATTCTCCATTCTGTGTCCCTATATCATCATTTCTTCAATCTCTTCTGTAATTCTTCCATCAATATGCTGTAATTTCTCCCATCTATAGAAAAAATACTGCTGTATTTCTCTTGATTCCACTTCCCCCACTATCTACCATGTCATTTCCCTGTTCCCTGTTGTGGCAAAACTCACAGAGTGTTTTATGTTCTCTTCCTCCAATTCTTTTCCTCTCTTCTCTCTTAAACCCTTTTGTGTGAATATACTCTAAGGTAACCTCCACTGAATCACACCCGGTATAATTCCCTCCCCTTGAATGTGGGTGGAAGTTGTGAGTTCCTTCCATTGAATAGAATAGACTCTTAATTAGGTTATGATACACAAGACTCCCTCTTAGCCTACTGGAAAGGAGAGGGATGCTCTCCTGCTGGTCTCTAAGAAGCTCAGCTGATGAGAGGGCCTGTGAGAGCGTCCCATGGTAAGAAGATGCAGATGGCCCCCAGGAGCTGAGAGTGGCCCCCAGTCAACAGCCTGCACAAATGTGGGGACCTCAGTCCCACAACTGTAGGGAGATGAATTCTGCAACAACCCAGTGAGCTTGGCAGTGCACACTCCCCTTGTCAAGCCTCCAGATGAGAACATGGTCTGGCCAAAATCTTGATCACAGCCTTGGGGGATACTGAGCAGAGGACCAGCTAAGCAGTGCCCAGACTTCTGACCCATGGAAACTGTGAGATAATAAATGTGTGTTGTTTTAAGCTGCTAAGTTTGTGGTAATTAGTTATGCAGCAGTAGAAGACCAACACACCTTTCCATTTGGCTTTCACCCTCAGGACTCAAACATATTTGCTCACATCAAGTGAACTCCACATTGCTAAACTCAACAGTTGAGCTCGCAGGCCTCATCTTACTCACCTATCAGCAGCCTCTGACACCTCTTATCACGTCTTCCTTGACTCGTTTTTTTCACTTGACTGAGAGGATTCCCTCTCCCTCGCTCTCTTTTTCTCCTTCTAGAACCCCCACTAGTGAGGCTCCATCTCCCTCCTCCTCATCTCTTATTCTCTCTTTTGTATTTTCTATCCCTTTATCTTTGTGTTGCATTTGGTTAATTTCTTCACATTTGCCTTCCATTTCAATAATCCTTTCTTGCACTATGCCTAATCTGCTGTTTAACCTTTCTATTAAATGATAAATATCAATGACCATATTTTGCATTTTTGGGAAAGTCTGTTTGGCTCTTTTAAATCTTATCTGATCTTTTTTATATTTATACAAATCTTAAAAGTATTTTTGCAAACCTAATACTGGATATTTATTGTTACTTTTATACAAAATGTAAATGTGTAACAATATTAAATAAACATAAATGTGTAACAACATTAAGAGGAATGAGAGCCAACAATTTCAGGACAGGGATTGCCTCTTGGGTAGGGGAGGAGGTAGAGATCAGAGATGGATCCATTGGCGGCTTCAACAGTAGTACTACATTTAGTTTCTTAAGCCAGAGGTTGGGTATGTGGGTGTTGATGTAAATAAATAGCAATTTAAAGAGGTTTTAAAAATGTAATTTCCTGCAAATTCTTCTCAGTAGTTCTATTCATGCCCTTTGTAATAAAGAGATATGCACTGTTTCAAAACCTTTACTCCTTTCAAATTCCTGACTTTGCCAGTGTCATCTCACTCAGCAGATATCCTAGTTTTTTCTTTTTATTTTTTGTGAGGAAGATCAGCCATGAGCTAACATCGATGCCAATCCTCCTCTTTTGGCTGAGGAAGACCAGCCCTGAGCTAACATCTGTGCCTATCTTCCTCCACTTTATGTGGGATGCCACCACAGCATGGTCTGACAAGTGGTGCGTTGGGGCACGCCCGGGATCCGAACTGCGGCCGCCAGCAGCGGAGCGCGCGCACTTAACCACTAGGACACAGGGCTGGCCCCCATATCCTAGCTTTTTGACTTCACAAAGAAAAGGGTGCTCTGACGTATGCTTTCCATAAACTTCTTTCTCTATCACCTCCAATTTCCAATTTCTTCACCCACTGTTACCTCCTTTTTTGGATGTGTGGGTAGAAATATCCATATTTCTTTGTTGGTGTAAACATCCCGAACTTTATTCCTGATTTCGTCTTCTACAACAAGGGATGACAAACTTTTTCTGTAAAGGACCAGATAGTAAATATTTTTGACTTTGTGGGACATACAGTCTCTGACACCACTGCTCAGCTCTGCCATTGTAACACAAAATCAGCCAAAGACAATACATACCTGAATGAGTGTGGCTGTGTTCCAATAAAACTTTATTTACAAAATCAGATGGCTGCAATATTTGAACCATGGGCCATAGTTTGCGGTTCCTTATTCCACAACATCCAAATGGTTGCATCTGTACCGAACATGTATAGACTTTTTTTTCTTGTCATTGTTCCTTGAACAATACAGTATAACAGCTATATACATAGCATTTATGTTATATTAGGTATTATAAGTAATCTAGACGTGATTTAAAGTATACGGGAGGATGTGTGTAGCTTATATGCAAATACTAGGCCATTTTATAGAAGGGACTTGAGCATCCTCAAACTTTAGTATCTGCAGGGGTCTTGGAAAAAATTCCCTGCATATACCTAGGGATGGCTGTACTTACATTTACCGGTTTATTTTAAGAGGATATGATGAAGGATATGGATGAACTTCCAGATGGAAAAGCTGTGCAGGGCAAAGTATGGGGGAAGAGGCACAGATGCAGAGCCTCCACGCCCTCTCCAGGCACCCACCCTCCCAGGACCTCCATGTGTTCAGCAACCAGAAGCTTGAAACCCTGTACTTTTGGGATTTTTATGGAGACTTCATGACGTAAGCATGATCATCATTAACTCAATCTCCAAGCCCTCACCCCTGCCCAGAGGATGGGGGTGGGGCCGAAAGTTCCAAGCGTCTAATCATGGCTTGGTCTTTCTGGTGACCAGTTCCCATCCTGCTAGCTAGGAGCCCACCCAGAGTCACCTCATTAAAACAAAAGACATTCCTGTCACCCAGGAAATGCCAAGGGATTTAGGAGCCCTGTGTCAGGAACCGGGGTCAAAGAACAAAAATTACAGCAAAAGACACTCTTAATGCTCTTATCACTTAGGAAGTTACAAGAGTTTTAGGACCTCTGTGCCAAGAACCAGGGTCAGAGACCAAAATATATATTTTCCATTTTTTTCACAAATGTTGACTAGGGGTGGGATAGTGAACAAATTTGTCGTATTTCCTTTCTCAAAGGGAAAACTTTAACTGCTTCACTATTAATTATGATATTGTTCTTCTTTAAGAAAAAATTTTAAAAACCCTTTATCAGATTTAGAAAGTTTTCCTTTATGCCTAGTTTGCAAAGAGTTTTTTTTTTTTTTACCATGAATTGATTTTCAATTTTATTAAATGATTTTTCTGCACCTTTTGAGATTATAATATGATTTTCCCCTTTTATTTTGTTAATAAGATGAATTTTTTTTTCATTTCTTTAATAAACTTGTGCTAGTTTGGGTTTTTCAGGAAGCAGATGCCAAGAAGGGATTAGACACATAAGAAGATATTTTTTAGGGGAAGTGACTGTAAGAGCTAAGTGGGAGGGAACAGGAGTACGCAGGGAGGCCAGGGTGCGGGTTTGACAGCCGTGAAAGGAGAAGGCAAACGAAGGAGGACTGGGCAGGAAGGGGCTCAGAACACAGCACAGTTTGAAGAGGATTTTGGTCAGGCCACTCGGGAGACTTTGTGCGCAGTCACTGTTAGAAGTCTTCTGAGCCTGGTAGCCTTGCCTTATTGGTCACTGGCTGAGGGCACACTGGGGGAGCATGACTTCATCGAGAACACAGTGGTGGATGGGGAGTGTAAGCTGGGGGTGTTGGTCAATTCTCTCCCCACAGCAGGAGATCTGAGGGGTTCCCGCTTGCCCCAATTGCAATTGTGAGCAGACGTGCAGTAACACCAAATTGAGAAAAGTATAACTATCAAGTATTCAGAAGTGTAAGGGGAGTGTAAGCTGGGGGTGTTGGTCAATTCTCTCCCCACAGCAGGAGATCTGAGGGGTTCCCGCTTGCCCCAATTGCAATTGTGAGCAGACGTGCAGTAACACCAAATTGAGAAAAGTATAACTATCAAGTATTCAGAACCTTCATGTATGTAGGTCTGAATCATACCAGTAGGTCAGCCACCAAGACTTGCGGAGATAACAGCTAAGGGTGAGGGAAATTTAGAATGAATAGTGGAGGAGGGAGAGTGAGCACCAGAGCAGGCCCACGGACTAACTGCAGCAAGGGAACATCTCACCATCTCCCTTCTGTAAGTTCCTTTCACAAGCTCATGGAGCAGCTGCTCCCCAAACCTGTGTGAAGAAGCAGATCTGTGTGATGCAAGGGGCGGACTGTGGGGGCTGTTAGAATGCACCATTCTTCCCTCATACCTTTCACACATGTAAATGCACTAGAAGAGAATATGGGAGGATTAAAAATAAAGAAACCCAGAGTAGGGAGGGTCTACATATGACATGTAACCTAGAAGCTGTAAACAAAAGATTGATGAATTGAACTATATAAAACAAATGCTGCATGAAAAAAAGTTTCAAACCAAGTCAAGTGTCAAAAGGCAAAGAGAAAAAAACTGGAACTGATATCACAAAGACCAAAATTCTTTAATATACATAAAGAACTCCTAAATCAATAAGAAAACATCAGTAGTATCAGTCTTGATAGACAGTGACAAAAAGCTCCCAAATCTCAACGGCTTAAGCCACAGAAGTCTATTTCTCATGGTCTTTATGTCCACTGTGAGTCATGGGGCTCTTTTCCGTGTTATCCTCACTGCAGGACTTATGATGGGCAGCTACCCCCCGATGTGGTCTTGGTAACGGTGGCAGAGGGAGAGACTCTGCGGGGTCCTGCACTGGCAATTAAATATGGGCCTGAAAGTGGTTCTCAATTCCTCTCCCAAGCCACTGGCCAGAACCAGTCCCATGGCCCTGCCTAAGCCCAAAGGGACCAGGTGACACGATCTGTGTGCCTGGAAGGTGAGGAGAACCCGGCATCGGTGAGCAGCACCGAGGCTGTCGCTTTACCACCCTAGAAGGTCTGTGACTTACTTGGTTTCTCAATTGAAGGTCTTGTCAAAGAAAGACGATGGCATATTTCATTACATTCCACATGCTGGTTGTTAAAGAAGTAAAAAATTCCTCTCTTTCCAAAATTAGTAGTGACATCTTGCTGACCAACAGAGTGAATCTGGGGATCTGTGAGGTAGATGAGCCCTTTTCCATTACCAGTCACCCAACCTAAAAGAGAAATAAATGTCTGAGAATTAAATCCTCTATAAACGTCAGTAAAATGTTTCAGAAAAACAAAACAAAAAAAACCAAAACAAAAAATATATGTATACTTAAAGAGACACTTTAAAAACTTGGTCATCCTGTGGTTTATATTTAATGAATTTCTGTTAGGGGATTTGGTCTTGCATATTCCAATTATTGGTTTAAGAATGAGAATTGAATATTGGGTAATTAAATTTGTCCAATATGACATACCCAGACCTCCAATTTTCAAGGAATTAGAGAGCAATAAAATTCACTTAGTATAATTACTAAAATCGCAATAGTGAATATTTCTTGCATGATTCAGAAGTTTCTTTAGTGCCTTATTCATTAAATTCTACATTCATGTGCTCATTTAACAAATATTTATTGAGCGCACACACTGTACAAAACACTGTTTTGGGTGCTGGGGATACAGCAGTGAACGAGTGAGTCAAAAATCTCCGTACTCACTGAGCTAACGTTCTTGTGCAGGGGACAGATACATAACCAATATGAGTAAGTGACATACATACTATGACAGAGAGTGATGATAAATGCTACGGAAGGGGAATGGAAAGGGCTGGGAGGATGGTCATAGAATCATTACTAGAAATAATTATGACAAACCTCATTTATCATTTAAATTAAGTCTAGATTATTGGCTAGCTCTGAAAAATAAAATACTAGACGAACTGAAACAAAATAAAAATATTAATGCAGATTTTAAAAGAAGTCACATTCAAGTACACACAGCTTTCTGTTCCATAGTGATCCCAATTATGAAACCCAATGTCATACTTGTAATGAGGGTAAAAGGCTGGAGAAAAGGACGTGTGGAACGATTCTGACACACTGAAACATATCGTCATAAGCAACCTACATCACTCAAATTCATGCGAATGAAATAAAAAAGCTGTTATGGATTCACTCTAGAATTAAGCCCAACAGAATATGAGCCCGATCTTCTCACTGATTATTTGACACCTTAGATGCTTGTAGAAGCTTTAGATATTTTTTCAGGCATCATTTGCTACATACAGTAAAATTGACTAATTTAATTCCAAACAGTCGCCTATGCACTGAACATTAAGGAATGATTGGCAGAGCTAGTTTCAAGACCTCACATTTACATATAAATAATACTAAAAATAAAAAATAATTCCCAGTTTCACATACCTTGTAAATCGACCACAACATCTCTATGGTTGGAAAACTCATAAGAAAAATGGCCGTAAGCCAAGCCATATTCTGTGGCTTTGTATTCTGTTTTCACCACTTTCGTATTATTTGATAATTTTACGAATTCTCCCAGTATGTAAGGTTCCACACTGACACACCCCTGTATTGTCTTGCCCTCTAAAATCTGAAAAACAGAAACGGGAGGCAGTATACCATAAGGGTGAAGGCTATGGGCTTTGGGGTCAAGCAGGTCTCACTCTGAACTTAGGCTTTGCTACTTAGGAGCTTTGTTACTTCTCTAGATTTTGGTTTCCTTATTTGTAAAGTGAGTATAATAATAGCTATCTTTTAAAATTGTTAAAAGGATCATATGAGAAAATGCATGTAGACTGCTTAACATGGTATGTGGCATATAACAGAATCTAAAATTATTATTCTTTTATTAAAATGCACACATAAAAATGAGGCCATGAAGTGACCTATCCTAGGGGCTGGCTTGCCAGGGCGGGTAGCTAGACCATGCACGGGACTCGAGGTTGGAAGACCAGCTCAAGTATTTCTGTGCTCTGTGCTCTGCCTGCACAGTTGTTTCAAAGGTTAGAGTTAATGTTTGTTAAATGCCCAGCATAGTGCTTGACATAAGAAAGTACAAAATGGATGCTAGTGATTATCATTATAAGTAATAAAATATGGGTCTAAAAATGTCTCTGGCCAAAGTAAAAAAATTCTTTAGGTGTGAATGAGCTAAGGATCAAACATCTTTGGGGAAGCAGCGTCATCTTAATCCAAAGAAGAGAAGAGTCAGTGGGGATGGCTGCCTTTTTATATTTAAGGGGATATCTTAGTGAAGAGAGACCAGTCTTAGCGGTCCCAGAAGCAGAGCTGTAATCCACAGGTAGAAATTAGAGGAAGACAGATTGGGGTCAAATTTAAGAACTTCCTAACAATTAGAATTATTTGAAAGTAAAAAGGTAATAACTTTTTCTTACTGAAGGTGTTTAAGCTATGGCATAGTAATCTCTTGGTTATGAGGAGTAGGGGTCAGCAGATATAAAATAGGGTATTTATGCATCATATTGAGGGGATAATTTGCATTAGATATGATCTTAGGGGCCTTTCTGAAAGTACAGAGACAATACAAAGGAAAAGTATACTAAAAATGCTAACTTGACCATGTGAGACCAGACACCAGGATCAACAGATATTCAAGTGTGACTTGGAAGATCCAAATGACTCGTTCAGGGTACAGAGGTCATATTTCTTACCTATCTGTCTAAGCAGATGGAGCAGATGAAGTAGATGAGGGAGGCTGGTAACTGAGTTTATTGGATTTTACCAGAATGATGGTGGAGGTGGATGGATGGTAGGTTGACAATAGAAATCTAACCTAATATATATTTATAGTCCTGTTTAACCAAACTGTTGCTTTCTTTAATCTCACCAGTAATAATGTGGATGGGATGTAGAATATCTGTGTCGGAATCTTTTGTTCATAGAGTCTTTTGTTAAATTCTGTCACGTAGTGCTGGGCAGTCATCTGCCTCTCCACATCGGTGAAGTGGTGCCAGAGTCCCTTCGGCTCCTTATATTCTTTCCCAACATATCTGTGAATGGAGAAAACCACACAGAGAAACGCAAAAGTGATCTTGCTATAGAGTAAGAGAGAGGAGATCAAAAGAGATATGCAAAAATGCTTGAAAGATGTTACTCTTTTTCTGCCTTACCCAGTCAATATCAATTATCTTGACTTATCTCATGACTCAAATAATTTTGTAAGAGCCCCCTGAACAGTGGAACGCAATGCATCCAGCTGACTGTTGGTTAATTTAATGTGTCCTCTTGATTTGGCCACAGGGTGCCCAGATATCTGGTCAAATATTATTCTAGGTGTTTCTGTGAGGTGTTTTTGGATGAATTTAACATTTAAATTAATAAACTGAGTAAAGCACGTTGCCCTCCCTAATGTGAATGGGCCTCATCCAATCAGGTGAAGGACCAAATATAACAAAAAGGCTGACCTCCTTCCAAGTAAGACTTACCTCACTGCGTTTGACCTAGGACATTGGTCTTCTCCTGCCTTTGGACTTGAACTAAAATATCGGATCTTCCTGAGTCTTGAAGCTGCTGACCTTGGGACTAGAGCTACCTCATCAGCTCTCTTGGATCGCCAGCTTGCCAACTGCAGATCTTGAGACCTGTCAGCCTCCATAATCGTGTGAGTCAATTCCTTATAATAAATCTCTGTCTATATGTATATACATGCTATTGGTTCTGTTTTTCTGGAGAACTCTGACTAATACACTGACCTGGGATGATATCGATTATAAAGAGAAAGTGTCCACTTAATGTAGCAGTTCGCCAGAGGTCTTTGGTCAGCCAAGGCAGCCAGCGTGGGTACTGGAAAGTGCAGGGTCTCTGGCGCCGTATCTTTCACTACCTGCAGTGTGGCCTTCTACAGGTCAGTTAACCAATCAGAAGCCTGCCTCTTTCCCTTCCTTTCATGATTACTTTGTCTCTCCATATACCTGTTTTCCATCATCACTTATTACGTGCACAACACTGTGCTAGTCCTGAGTGTTTGGAAGAAAGTATGAGACGTGATTTGTATATTTCAAGGGCTGAGGCGTAGTTGGGGACAGAAGATACGAGGCACTAAACGATTAAGTGTTGAAATGAGCAAAACAGTAAGTACTACACTTTACCGTAGTTTATATTTGCTATAAGCTGGTGTGAATCTGTGAGTAATTCACATGTGTCCAGAGTGATCTTCAAAAATCAAAGGGAATTGTCAGAATCATAGACCTCAACAGAGAAAACTGTCTCCCGAAATTTCTGAGTCCAATATGATAAAGGAATCCAAGTTCGCTGCACTTTTGGCCATTCACACTCCCGGGGTCAGAAAGGGAACCTGAGGCTGCAGAGGAGGAGCCCGCAGGCCTCAACGCTCCTGCAGAGGAGCTTTGTCATAATAGTGGTATTCTGCCAGGGCTTCAAGCTTTTCTGCTGTGGAGACATCCTGGGGCCCGCAGAGGCTTTGAACCAGTTCAGAACTTGGAGCAAACCTTGTGGGTGCTGCTCCTGGAGCATTTCCTGAATATTCTGCTGGAGGGTCATCAGTCTGCAAACAGAGGCCCATTCCTTCTGGCATCCTATACCATTTTGCTGGGATCACTCTTCTTTAGTAAAGATTTGTTAGCAGTAAACTCTTTTTACTTGGACTGCTTTTAAGATTGTTTCTTTGTCCTTGGTGTTCTGAAGTTTGACTACCATGTACCTGGAAGTGAATTTCTGATGGCTTGCCTTCCTTCCTTCCTCCCTTCTGGTTTCTTCCCTCCTTCCCTTTCTATCCTACTTGGGATTCATTGTGATTCCTGTGTTTGAAGATTAATGTATATTGGCAATTCTGGAAAATTATCAGAAATTATCTATTCAAATAGGAATTCTTTTCTCTTTGCTCTGCCACCTTTCCTGATCAGATGTGTATTGGACCCTCTCACTCCATCTTCCACGTCTCTCATTCTCTCTTTCATTTCCCATCTCAGACCCTCCCGTGACCTAGCCTGGTGTATTAGTTTCTTAGGGCTGCTGTGACAAAGTGCCACAACTTGGGGGGCTTAAACAACAGAAATTGATCCTCTCACAGTGCTGGAGCTTGGAAGTCCTAGATCCAGCTGTCAGCAGGACCACGCTCCCTCTGCAGGCGCCAGGGAAGGTGTTCTGGCCCCTCTCCTAGCTTCTTGTAGTTCCTGCCTGTGGCAGCATAACTACAGTTTTCACGTGCATTCTCCCCATGTATGTGTCTATCTCCAAATTTCTCCTTTTTATGAGGACACCACTCACAGTGGATTAGGGGCCCACCCTACTCTAATATGACCTCATCTCAACTTAACTAATTATATCTGCAATGACTCTATTTCCAAATAAGATCACAGTCTGAGGTACTGGGGTTAGGACTTCAACATATGAATTTTGGGGGGGCACAGAGATGTTAAGAAATTCATTCCACCCATAACACCTGGCTCCACCACTTTGATGTGTGAGTTGGGGCAAGTTTCTTCACATTTCTGTGCCTCAGTTCCCTCATCTGTAAAATGGGGATAGTAATAATATCTACCTCATGGTCTTTTGTGAGGATTAATTAAATTAGTATATGAATCACTTAAAACAGGGCTTGGCACATAGTAAGTCCATTTACATGTTTACTACTATTATCATTATCAACAACCTTTTCAAAAAATGCAGTTCTGCTGCTTAAGATTCACCCAATTTCTCTCTCTGTCTCTTTTTTTCCCTCTCTTCCTATTTATTTCTTACATTATTTGGATTTGGGTAAAGAACAGAGTTTACTTAAAGTTCTTGGCTTATAGGTCTTCTTAAATGCACAAATAGTATAAAATTAGGCCTCAAACCCAATGAGGACCACCTGTGGCCACTAATTTTTCAGGTGAGTTTTTGCTTTAAGCTGTCATTGAGAACTAAGGCCAAACAAAAAACTTTCCAGGCCTTTGCTTCAGGGGGGTGGGACCTTTTAAGATAAGCTTTTCCATGAGGATGTAGCCATTCCTGAATCCCTGCTTTATATGGGTCATTTCTGAACTCATCTCTTCCCTGTGTGACTTTTGTCCCTAGCTGCTCCTCATCTACCCCTGCCCAAGACTCCTATGGAGGATGTCTCAGGGGCTCGGTATTCACTGATATCCCTGGATAAGCTTCGTCCTTGGCCGCAGAGGATTTTCCGCCTTTTTTGCAGGCTCATTCATTTACCTAAAAGAGTGGCTTTCAGAGTTTAACTAGACTTTTTGCCAGCGTTTTTAGTGAGAGTGTTTAAGGTTCTTTCCTGCCATATTGCCAGAAACACCATTTTTCTCATCTTTAGAATGGGGATAAGAATGTTTCCCTAATGGGTTTGAGATCATGTGTATCTATGCAAAATGCCTGACACAATGTTGGTCAATATGTGTAACTTGTTATTAATTAATTAATGAGGAGAAGGAAGGAGTAGAAATCGGAAAACATACATTTTGGCCAACTTTTTCTGCCCTTTCAAAATCTCACAAACGATTAATCATAGAACGGCAAAATCAGCCCATTTGATGTTAATGTTATCAGTGTTTTTAAAATAATACCTCCCCAGTGTTTCTTCTTGATGAAGATACTGAACCCAGAAAGCATTTCTCTGTCTGCCTTTCTTCTTCACATTTAGGTAGTCTCCCAAATACACAGCAGTTTCCTGGGCTGTCCACAATTCAGATTTCTTAGAATATTTTAACAAAAGAGCATCTGGAAAAAAAGATAAGATGAAAATGCATCTTATTTTCAAAAGGATGTTACAATTCATGAACAAATCTTTACAAACATAATGAAGATTCACAAAATCTCTTGTTGTGATGGCAAGGGATTAAGGTAAGGCCAGAGTTTCTGTATGAAAGTAGTGGAAAATGAAGAATTTTTAAAACAGCAAAACCCAGAGTCCATCTTGGAACAGTGATATATGTTTGCATCTCTTCTAATCGTCTGCGGGCCCCAGAGGATAGAGGCCCCTGCCTGCGCCAGGTCACACAGATAGAAATCAATTACACAATTTGATGTCAGAGCTTCCTGACGACTCCAGGGACCCTGATTACATATTGAAGTGCACTCTAATTTCCTCTCACTTGTTTTGTTTAAGTTGGGAAAGTTCAGGAATTACTTGAGAAACTATAACTACTGTACAAACATTCAAACTCAACTGATAAAGGAAAAGATCAGAGGGAAAAGTAAAGCCTGTCTCCACCTCAGAGAAAGGAAGACAGTGCCAGCAGGAAGGCATCTCTTTGAGGGGAAAGACCAAGATGAACCCTGAGGAGGAAATGCAACAGTTTGGGATCCAAGTGAAAATGAAGTGAACAAAGACCTTCTGTGTCTGGGATGTGATAACAGACGAATGAAGGGGAGACTCAGGAGAGAAAATACTTAGAGTAAGATAAGGGGGGGAGGGGCTGAAGGAGGGAGGTGACTGGGGCTGGGGGGAGATGTGACCGGGGCTGGGCGACCCAATCAGAGAAGCTGGAGATGGAAATGGAAGGTGAGCTGCTTGCGCACACACAGGAAGGGGAGTGAGTTGAGGGAAGAAGATGGGGGGAAATGTATAGCTCATTCTGTTTCTTAAACTGCAGGCCTTGCTTCCTCCAACATGGTTTTTCACCCATAAATTGGCACACAGACATAGCAATAAAGCAGTTGCCTAATGCTAAGAACTGTGATTCTGAGCTTGAAGAATCTCACAGTAAATAGGGAAACCCTACTGGTAGAAAATTTGGCTTCTTTTGGTAACAAGCTGATCTGTATTTCAGTCTGACTTCAAGGTGGCAGGCAAAACGTTGGAATACTTTGAAGCAGAAGTTCTCAGCATTGACTTTATACAAACTCACTGAGTTCTCTTAAGAAACACTGATGCCTGGATCCATTCCCCAGACCCATCAGTTTAGAATCTCTGGAGTGAGGCTTTGGCAGTTTAAAAAGGGGATTCCCATGTGGAGCCAAGGTTGAGAACTACTACTTGAGTATCCAGTGCTCAGCAATCCACATAGTTTGTTTCTTCTGAAATGCACTTTGCTATAGTTGTTTCTCATTCAAATAATTTTTCAATATCTCAGAGGGCATTACAATGTGATCCTCTGAGATAGGAGAAGAGCCTTGTCTTCTTTTTCCCAGCTTCTCCACTGCTTCTAAGCTGTATTAGACACAGTGACTGCCGGGCAGCCCCAACCCAGGCTCCCTGCTGTGGGACGTGACCTTGGGGTGTTCCTTAAGCAAGAAGTCGTTGCTGATTGCAACAGTAGGGGACACCTGATCAATCCATTAGCCGGCAAGAAACCTCTTAGGTGGACAGGTGTGAAAAATCTCTGCACACTAGAAGGATGATGTTTAACTAGGTCAAACTCTGTGCCCCTAGAATTTGAATGGGGAAAAATATAGAGAAATCAGCTGGTTGGTAATGAGAATCAATGGAGAAGATGGACGCTGAGTGGATATCTCATCCAGAGCTGCTTTAAACCCTGACTGATGACTATTCCTGAGTCCTCCAAGATTCCTTCTCTCTTACTGCCTTGTGTGTCTTTATAGCGAACCCCGAATATATGAGGTGGCCTCTGTGAGCCTCTACTCTTTGCAACCATTAGAGTCCATCTCACAGAGAGTGGGGGGGGCCCTCCACATTTCTCTGTATACTCCTGTGGGGGATCAGAATTGGCCACCCCAAAATGTGTCTCTTTGGCTTGATTATTTTTAAGAACAAAAGACTCTGAAAGAACTTTGACCTTCCTCCTAACTGCCTAAAAGAATTTAAGATAGAAGATCTGTCCGGAAGAAGCTAATACTATAAGATAACTAAAGTATAATATAAACTAGGTGTGGTAGACAGGAGGGCACTAGCAAGCCCGTTTTTATCAAAGTTCTCTCTTGAGTCTCATTGTCTATAGATGGTCCAGCAAACACCTGCTTTTCCCTCTCCATGTGAATTGCCTTCCTCCCCTTTGAAGTCCCAAGCCACTACCCCCAACATCCTCCTTTGTCTTTAGCTGAAGATGGTATTTAAGCTAGTGGTTTCCACCATTTTGGCGAGTTACTCAGATTTCTTGGGTTTCTCCCATGTATATATGTCATTAAACTTTATTTGATTTTCTCCTGTTACTCTGTCTCATGTCAATTTAACTCTTAGACCAGCCAGAAGGACCTAGAGGGTAGAGGAATTGTCTTCCTCCCTTGCACTCACAAAGCATAACAGGGGCCTACGTCTCTCATGAGCTTTAAGCGATCTACATAACAGGCTCTTCAAAGGGCCCCAAACATACATAGATGCTTCCTGAGCTGTACCTACTAAAAACATTGCACTTACTGTGTGCTCGGTGGAGTTGACTGGGCTTAAAAACTCCTGTATTCTCCAGTCTCTGCAACAGCCAGTCATGCCTCACCCCTGCCAAGAGTTTTTCAAAGTCTTCAGGCTGCAGGGTACGAGCCTCAAGAATCTCTTGCCTTGTCATTCCTGGCAATGAAACAAAAGAGCTTCCACTGGAATTCAGAAAGGACCATGGGCTTTCGCCCTCAGAAGAACCACTGGAAAATACAGGTGATTTCAACCACCATGCCGAGGACGAGCTGGAGTTCTGGCTGCAGTTGAGCACGTTTCCAGGTTCCTTTCCTTCCTCTGTGGTAGCGCAGTCCTCGCTGAACACAGGGAAGGGAATGTTGCTGCTTACAGAGGAATTGGGGGTCTCAGCCCCCTGACTATGCTGCTGCCTCAGAGCACCTAGTCTGTGAGAGCCATGTCTACTTGTGGGGTGGACATCTGTGCTGTCGAGCAGTTGACCCTCCTCATCCACCGTGGAGGCATCAGGGTCGATGCCCTGCTCTCTGACTGAGCCACCGCTTTTTCCTGAGTCAGGATGTTGAACAGGCCAGTGAGGAGCGAAAGAGCTGCAGGCCATCAGGGAACTTTTGCCCAGAGAATCATCCACGGCCACGTGAGAGTCTAAGGGTATAACCTCTGCTGTCTCTGCTGTTTCTCCTTCTGGGTCAACCCAGGAGGGGCTATCTTTAAATGTAGGGCCTGTGCCTCTTTTGATTTTTTCTCCTTTCTCTTCTCCATGCCTGTGTTTGGCATCACAGTTAATTTCTGGAAACTCATCAATTATTTCAAAGGTTTCTTCTTCTTGGATCGAAGGATATGTGGCCATACTCTTGGGCCAACCAGAATCAGAAGAAGACCAAGAAGCAGAACCAGATGAGGGTCTGGAATGAGCAGAAGTATTTCTGGATCCCATATTTCTGACTTCCTGCATACCTTCTGGAGCTCCTTCTAACAGCCCTGCACAAGAGGCCAAGAAAGTGCCTGTTGTGCTATGAGGAGGGAAGGATGTCAAGGGCACGTGTTTGTGGAGTTGACTTTGAGAAGACTCTAAATTGTCATCCTTGGACACCTGGAGAGAGAGACCATGCATCTCTGAAGACAAGGAGTGCACATCTCTGCTTTCCCCAATGATCTCCAGCTGTTCAGACAGGGCGGTGGAACACTGAGTGTCCACAAGATGTTCTTTGCTAGGTTCTTTTCTGGCTGACCTATCATCAGCATGATAATTCACTTCCACCCAGCTTGCAGAAGAACTAAACCCTGATAACTTGCTCCAAGAACTGGAACTCTGGCTGTCACTCAGAGACTTGTTCAAAATAGCTCCCCCACCATCGCTGTGCTCTAGTGACTCAGCCTCAGTCTCAGCATCTTGGTCCAAGGAGACTCGAAAAGCAGCAGAATGTGTCCAGTTTCTCCTTCCTACCCTCCTGATTCTCTCCTGACCATTCTTAGCCATTTGGGAGGAAGATGTTCCAATGCCTTTTTGAAAATGTGGTTTGTCTTCAGTAGTACTCACAGTATCTATGTTTTTTGTTTCTGTTTTTAGAGCAGTGATACAGATGCCTACTTTTGTATCTTCCTGTTTATTTTTGTTGTTTCCACAAGTGCTTTCGTATACTTCACACACTGAAGTATGATGCTGTGTATAGGTTTCAAGGATTTTTTGGAAATCCACTTGCCCATGCAAGAGGGGTTTATCCAGGCCACACTTGAAACCCTCTGGAACGTAAGACCTGTCATCTAAATTTGAGAAGCTTTGAACTTGTAAATGATCCTTCACCTGGGTGATAACAGACATGATTTCCTGAGAGAGAGCTTCTCTCTCCTGACTTCCAGAGGAAGTACTGAAAGTGTAGAGCTTGCCCATAGCTTCACTACAGAGCTGACGAGCTGCATGGACCGTCTCTGTCTCCCCGTGGAGTCTTCGGTGCACTGTGGTGAGACCGAAAGCAGCTTTGAGAAAACTATGAAGCTCCTGTTTTCCAGTAACTGGCTCACCATATCTCTTGGTGAGGAGGCCAATTTCAAAGGCCTCTTTGGCTTCATACAGATAAAAATTTTTCATTCCTGGAGGACAGTCATTAGAACTAGTGTATGACAACAAGCACGAGCCACGGATATTCTGAGGAAAATACCAAATACAAAATCAGACACTGAATTGGAAATCGGAGGTAAATCGGGAAAAACTTTTCATTCCTGAAGGATAGTCATTAGAAATATTATTGGAAAATAAACACATACCACAGATATTCCAAGAAAAAGACACAACTGAAAACTGAGTTAAGAATGTGAGGTCTGTTTGGTGAAGGGACTGGGATGTATGTGACTGGCTGGCATGAAGGGGTAAGAAATTAACTTTAACTACCAGCCTACTGTAGCCCTGATACTTTTTGATCAAAGATGATAGATTTGTTGTTGTCGTTAGTTTTAGCAAACAGAGCCTACACATGGGATGTAGACGTAATAAGTTTCTCTATGCAGATAAGGTTGCTATATCAAACACATCATTCATTTAATAATAGTCAGAATAGAGTAGTGGCTTCGAAAGCCCTCTGTGCATTTGAATCACCTGGGCAGTATTTTAACATGAAAAGACTTCTGGGCACCAATCCCAGAGATTTAAATGTAGCGGATGTAGGTAGATCCCATGTTTACGTATTTTGAAAAAGCTCCTTGGGTGATTCTAACGTGCTTGGGAACCATCGTTCTAGAGCCGACAACGTCAGGCTGAGTTGACTTAGCTCCCACCAGGACGTCGCCCCCTGACTGATAAAACCTTCTCATACATGCAGTCTGTTTGCAGTTATGCAATGATGTGCACAGAGCCTGCTCTAGCTTAGACCTTCCCCTCCCACTGCGGCGTCGCCGGGGAGAAGTCTGTTTACCACAGCAGTGAGCACGAAGAGGGGTGTGTAGGGACTGAAGGCGGCTGCCAGCTTGCAGGCTTCTGCGGCTGACAGCAAGTGGTGGTCAAACTCCTTCAGCAGGCCCTGCGGGAAAACAGGAGGCCAAGTGTGGCGTCAACAATCATTTCTCCATTAGCAAAAGACAGGCTAGGAAATTCCTTTGCTTTTCTGTCAAGACTCTGAGGGATGCCCTGCCCCTCATTACAACCACTTCAGAACAGTGCCAAAGAAGATTAAGTGGGTCAAAAGACCCCAGGGCACTGGCTGTTCTCTCCCCCAGCACCCATACACCAACCACCCCCACCCCACAAGGGTCTAATATGTGCACAAGGTCACAACGCCCCCTGGTGCAAAAGAACTCAGACACGTTTCCTCGGAGGATGGTGGCAGCTCTTTGTTCACAGGAACTCTGCAGCCAGATTAACTGATGATTTCTGCATTGTTCTTGGCAAAGAGCTCTTTAATTTATGATTTCACAGCAATTAAGATTCATTCGAGAAATATGTATTGAGTACCGCCATGTGCCAGGCACCATTCTAGACCCAAAGGAGACAGCAGACAGTGAACCTGCAATGAGCTTACTGTCTGCTGAGGGCAAGGGATGGGTCGATACAGAAAATATGTAAAATGCACAGTATTTGAGATGGCCATAAGTGTTCCAGAGAAAAATAAAGTGAGGAAGAGGTCAGGGTGGGAAGGCAGTTTGCAATTTTAAACAGTCAGTAGAAACAACGTCTCTGAACTAAGGACAGGATCCTTTTCCCGTGTTTTGGTCTGACAGCAAAAGCAACATCTTGTGAAAATTCAGATTACTAGCAGCAAGTTGTATGTGTTCTTATGCTACACTAATTAGTATTGAGTATGGTTACAGCTGTCACTTTGGTATTTAATAAAAAAGGCAATATTGATGATAACGTTAAAATCTCAATTTCAGGGCAGTGCAGAGAGCAGTTCAATGTCTGTGCCAATGCTCTGGGCAGGTCAGAGACCTGGGTTCTGCTCCCAGTTCTCTTTCTTACTGGTTGTGCAAATTGTAGAGGTCACTTAATTTCTCTGGACCTTAGTTTATTTTTTTTTTTAAATGGGAATGATCAATTTTGCTCTACTTACCTCATAGGATTTTATGTGAACCCTATACAGATATACACATACGTTTTGAATTGTAAAGCCATATACAAATGTTAGTAATCATTACTATTAAGGATAAGAGCCTGGACAAGTGACGGATGCAATGACCTGAACAGATGGTAATTAAAGTTTTAAAATTATTACCCTTTACTTTATCATTGAGATGGCCCAAGTGTGGAAACTGAATTTTGTGATAATTTGAAATGACATAAATAGGGTTCAAAGCATTTATCACTTTGGTGATATTCATTCATTCATTCCCCAGTCACTTTTCGAGTACCCTCTGTATGTCTGGGGCTGTACCAGGCACTGGGGTAACAAAGCCAAACAGGACAGTGTAGGAACCATCTACGGATTGCTCCAGCTGCTCGAAGAGGGGAGACACCGCTCCCTGACCCTGGAAAGAGAACGGGATCGGCCACCCAACCTCCAAGAGAATGGTGGCAGTTTTGTAGGTGATGCCCCTCAGCCCCCTGGTTTTGACAAGTGATAATCACCAAGTTAATTTGTGGATTGCTTTTAAACTTTTCATAATCTTTCTTGCTCATGGAAACAAAGATGTCTGCCAGGATCCCTAGTGACGTGGAGATACCCTGTAAGGAAAAGACAGATGAAACAAATCAGGAATTCACGGTCAGTTATTGCTCTCATCTCATGGCCTAAAGGCAATAATTAGCTCTCCATATGAACCACTGCTTATTATTATTACTATTATTGCTATTATTATGACACTAGAAATACCTTTAAACTGGATACCACAGGGCTCGAAAGAGCATCACGTCCTGAGGACATGATCTCATGTAAACACAGCTATTTCTTAGTTGGGCCTCTCTGGATCACCAGCACTAACCAGGCATACTGCTAGGCCTGAAGAACTGGCCCAAGCAAGAGTCCTCACATCCCATTCTGTCCGAGTAGTAAAAGGATTGTAGGCAGCAGCGCTGCGGACACAGCTCAGGGAAATGTGATAACTTGATGCTTCAGTTCATAAGGAGAAGATTCCCACAGAGTTACAGAGAATGAAAACACCAGGTAGCAAAGCAAATGTTGCCTCTCAATTTCTTGCATAAAGATGCTACGTAAACAATTAATAGACATCTTTGCCCACTCAACTCAAGGAAAATGATTTTACATACAAGAAACTTTGGCCATGTCAACTTTGCTATGGAATCAGATAAAGGCTAAATATACAATGGAATAGATAGATGAATGGATCCGTAGAAATAAATATATAAATAGATAGTTACAAATGGATTTAGAGACACTAAAATATGCCAGGAGTCTAGCAGTGAGTGAGGACAGAGCAAGACACAGGAGGAAGTTACCAAATGTTCCTCATCCTACGCCCACATAGAATCAATAAACACAGGACCGATAAACGATAAACTGAATTGTGCCATAAGGAGATAATCATCCAAAGATAAATATGAGAAAGGATAAAAAAAGCAGTAGACAAAAAAGCCACCTTTTTATCTGGATGAGGAAGTGTCAAATATCCTATGATCGAGGCCCATGTTAGCTCTGCTGCTTCGTACCACATCCCTGAAAAAAAGGGGGAGATGGACACACCACTAGTATCTGTGCTCTTGCGTTAGAAAATACCTTTGCAAACTAATACAGAGAGAAGATTCATTTTCCTGTTAGGAAAATATAAGGCGAGATTAGATTGACAGCCATCAGCAGAGAGAAATCTGCTGGAATAACAGCAATCTGTTTTTCCAGTTGGTTGAATATAAACAATTTTTCCCTTTCATAGGAAAACAGTAAGAATTATTATATAGTATGTATATATTTTTTAATATATAAATAATTATCTCCATTATTTAAACGATTAATAATTACCATCCTCTGTTAAAAATTTTCAAACACTTTAGTTTGCATTTTAAAGTATAATTAGGGTTCTATAAACGTTGCTTGAAAAACTCAAGAATATCCCCTGAGGAATGAACGGGTAAGGTGTCAGGTGGTTTTAGAATAAGGTGTCACTATATCACACAGAGTCCTGCTGAACTGAGAGTCAGATGCCGGAAATAACATCGAGAATCCTATGGTTAATGATCACCATATGCAACTGCAAATTTCTTTAACAAAACTCAACAGGAAAATATTTTGTTTTATTAATGTTCATAACACTCTCTTTTCGATGACGAAATTAAGGGAAGTGGGGATTAACAACTTTAACCAGAACATTCCACAGTAAAATCTCATAGCCAGACTTTGTCGACGAGCCTTGAGAGGAGCGAATGTTTGATGACCGTACCCAGCTTTTGCAGAATTTGCCCTCTGATCTGTATGCAGACTGACTGCACCAGGACCTTGTCACTTTCATTTCTGTACAGCCAGGTACCTACAATAAAAGAGGGGAAAAGGAAAAGCATTTTTGGCTTTGAATTATTTAAGAAATAGCCTGATAAGATAAAATTATTTTCATAGAAGCCTTCATGAGCACACACAATATAGATTCGAGAGACAATCTCTTCTGTACATTTAGAGTAAGGTCCTTGCTGTAACCTACAAGGCTTTACAGAGACCTGACTCCTGCTTAGTCTCCAACTCTCCGCCTTACCACCTGTGCTCTGCACGCCGGCTTCATCTGTGTTCCTTATAACAGCAGCCGCTCTTGCTTCGTGGCATCTGTGCTTGTATTACCTCTGCCTGGGACCCACTTCCCTCTGGCTCCTGAGGAGACCTCTGCTTCTCCTACTTCAGGTCTCAGCCTCAATGCTATTGCCTCAAAGGCCTCCGCAGATTAATTTCCCTACAGTATTACCCCGCTGTCCTGGGGTCGCCTCCTGGAGGGCGGGATCCATCCCATCCACCCAAAACTGGCTTGGAGGAAACTGATGACTCCACACAGGCACCAAGAGGGTGTGAAAAGATTTACTACTCACATATGCGCCTTTCTGAGGAGAGCAGGGCAGGCCCCTGAGTTGGTCCATTTGACTTGAGTGAAGAGAGTGGTGAAGGGCTTTGGCTTTTATCATGAATAGAGTGTGGGGCCAGGATAAAGGTTCCCACAAGCTGGGCCAGAGTTTACTGATGAGTGGGCTTTCTTTAAAAAAGGAATCAGCCTATCCAGATGTGAGGCAAAAGGAGTAAGGAAGGCTGAGGCCTGAGAGCTGTCAGTGATGAAACATCAAGCGTAGAGTCAGATTTATTACTCCCCCCTCGTTATTCTCTGTCACATCACCCTCTTTGTTTTCTCCCTAGCCTTTAGTCCTGGGGTGTGTGTGTATGTGCACGTGTGTGTAGGGTGCAGAAGCTGGGAAGAGTGCATACTGTAGGTTAGTGATGGTGGCTACAAATGAGGCGTGAGTGGTCAATAGTTATGTTCCAAACTGCCCCCCCACTGGAAAGGTCTGCGAGTTTCAAGGAGCTCGGGACCTTATATCTGAATGTATTGAGCTTAAGAGTCCACTGGAAACTGTGTTCAACTGACCGGGATAGATGTTGACTTAAATGCCCAGAAATGCAGACAAGATATCTGAAGGCTGGGCCGGCCCCCTGGCGTAGCGGTTGTGTGCGTGCTCCGCTGCTGGCGGCCCGGGTTTGGATCCCGGGTGCGCACCGACGCACCGCTTGTCAAGCCATGCTGTGGTGGCGTCCCACATAAAGTGGAGGAAGATGGGCATGGATGTCAGCCCAGGGCCAGTCTTCCTCAGCAAAAAGAGGAGGATTGGCATGGATGTTAGCTCAGAGCTGATCTTCCTCACAGAAAAAAAAAAAAAAAAGATATCTGAAGGCTTAGATTATTTGTTACCAAACTATTAGGACTGGATTCCTTTCATGTATAATTAAATATCAAAAGAAATCCATTTTAAAATAAGCTCTTATTAAAGTTCTTATGTAGCAAAACCACATTTATTTTCCAAATCATTTAAATACATAAAGCCATAAGTGTATTCTTCTGAACTCAGAGGCTTTATTCCCCGTCAGAACTCTTTTCAAGGCTGCTGCTGAACTCTTTCTGAGGCCTGTACAGTTACCTGCTTTAACAGATATTGTTCATTGGATAACACACTCTACAGTGAAGCAGGGAAATGTTAGAAGCCTTGGTGTTTTTGTCTTTAATTAGAGAAAATGGAGACACAGAGAAGTAGGCTGCTTGGCCAAAGCCACTACACTTATCAGTGGCAGAGCCAGTCCCAGGTAGTTCTGGGAACATCCAGCGTACAGTAACCATCAGGTCGTAAGTTGTTCTCAGGCTAGAACTCTGGTGGGGACTGAGGGTGAAGGTCGTTGTGAAGACGTGAAAACACCTTACCTGTTGCTCCATGGTTGCTTATTAGGCTGCTCAGGATATACTCTGCTTTTAAAAGTTTCCCTGAAAAGAAGCAACCAAATGCCACTCAATTAGTTCTGACTGTGTGCTTTAAATACCACTAGTAGTTCAGGCTCTAAGATGAATACATTATAACAGGGACCATGACCGCTCTTGGAAACATGCTATTTTAAAATTTAAAATCAATAACTACATGATATATAAGAGTGAAAAGCAAGATGGTGTTTTCAGGAATTGGGAAGGTGGGAGTTGCACAGGATCTGAAATGGCAATTAGATTCATATATATTCACTCCTATGAATGAATAATTCATTCATACAGAGTAAGGCTTGAGAACTCAAGGCAAATCTTTGTACAAGGCTGTGTCTCCGTTCTGCGAGAGCCACACCTCAAGAAGTGGAACAGAGTTGCCCACGAACAGGGCTATTTACAGAATTATCAGGAAAGGATTTATTTAGGGGGGAGGGGAAGGAGGTTCTTTCTAAACTTTCCACTTAGTTTGGTGACCACTGCATAGGAGGGGCCTTATGTATGGACAGCTGTTGTTCCCAAGGAGGAAACTCAAGCATTTACCCTTTTACCCATCCCTTCTTCCAGGAGCCTCTGGGGCCTACCAGACCTGGCCCCTGGGACTGCTTTAGCCTCATCTCTAGCATTCTTCTCCTCACTCACTCGCTCTTCTTTGGGGACAGTGGCCTCCTTACTGTCCCTTGAACCTGCCAAGCTTGTTCCCACATCAGGATCTTTGTATAATTATTTTAGTCTGGAATGTGTTTATCCTAAATATCTCCAAGGCTTGCTCCCTTCTTCAGGTCTTTGCTCAAATGTCCCTGTCGCATAAGGCCTCCCTGACCACCCTATTTCAAATTGCACCCACAGACACACGCCCGGCTGGGGTAGCCTGTGTTTCCAAAGGAGGTCACATCCATAGCTTCCACCCCACGTGCTCTTTTGCAAGGTGACCCTGCCATTCCTCCATCAAGAAGTGGAATCTAGAGTTTATTTCCCTTCTCCTTGGGTCAGAACTGGCCCTGTGACCTGTTGTGAACAATGGAATATGGCAGAAAGGACACTGTTATTGTTTCTAGTCTGGGCTTTAAGAGATCTGTAACTTCTACCTTCACCTCTCTCAGAACCCAGCCACCATGCTGCGAGAGGCCCAGGCGGGGCGAACCGGGGCGCTTGCCTGACGGCCCCAGCTGAGCTTCTCGCTGGCAGCCGGTACCACAAGCCTGCTGTGGGAGTGAGACCACTTTGGACCTTCTAGCTGTCCCAGCTGCCCAGCCGACACTACTTAAAATAAAAGAATTATCCAGTCGAACTACAAAATTATGGGAAATAATAAATTATTATTGTTTTAAGGCAGTAAGTTATGAGGTGGCTTGTAACATAGCAATACATACAGAAACTGGGCACCCAAACCGGGACGCGACTGTAACAGAAACTTCAAACATCCAGCACTGGCTGAGGGAACAGGTGTCAGGTGGAGGCTTGAAAGACGATGAGGAGACTGAAAGGGCAGTGAGGAAATCGTCACCGGAGGTTTGAGAAAAGGGAACACACGTTATCTAGTGGTGGAAATTTGGGCATCATGGTCTCCAGGAATAATGTGGAAAATAGAAAATATAACCAATGAACTTGTGTGTCTAGAAAGGGGATACCCAGGAAGAATGCTGGAAGTCCCAAATGGACCTCTTTTAGCCACCAAGATGTAGTGTGGGAAGAAAGAGATACGCTACAGAAGGAACTAGTTCATTTTCAAGCAGGATTTAGAAGAAACATAGAAGGCCCAGAATAGCCTTTCCAGCCAGCAAGACATTCTCAAAATAAATTAAAACCTGGGGGTAAAGATCAAATCCAGGGCACTGGCAGTAAAATGTGGCCAAGATCAAGTCAAGGGTGTGGCTATAAAGCCTTTGCTAAGACCTCAACCCTCTTGACCAGGCAAAAGAGCTCTGAAGAATCTCAAGGGTCCTGTTCTATAGCACCTTGATTGTAGCCCAGAGTAGAGCCCACAGATAATTGTAGGCATGGCTTTTGTCTAATTCAATGCATTAAAAGGCTATAAAGTATTTGAAGGAATTCTATCAGCTTAGTTTAAGAAGGGCAGTGATAGCTCAAAATGAAACCCAGCTGGGAACGCACCTTTCTGTGGGCATGGAGCAGGCTGAGATACGTTCATAAGAAACGTCCTGTGGAAAAGGAAGGATGACTCACAGGACAAGTCCAAGAACTGAGGGGACCCACTCCCAAAGAGAAGAAAGGAGTCTTAATGTCCCCAGAAGGAAGACTTGGGACATACGCCTGGCTGGATCTTAGATGAATATGGACGTAGTGACTGCTGTGTGACTCTCAGGTCCCACCCCACCCCCCCAACAGCAGTGTTTGAAGTTATCTCCCCATGGCATGCTGGTTGTGTCAGCGGGTAGGTACTTGTCTTTTAGTTCACAAGTCTCTGTATCCCAGAAGTGGCACCTGAGAAGACTTATCTGTCCCTGGACCTGATCCAGAGGACGAGATCCTGAACTTCCAGCCTGACGCCTTCATGGGATGACACTCAGGGAGGGGTAAGACTATTTTGCACTTGGGAGGGATGTGAATTGTTGTGGTTAGAACATAAACTACGACTAAATTTTTGTTTTAAGCCACTAAGTTTTGGGGTGGTTTGTTATGGAGCAAAGGATCACCAAACACTGGCACTCTCCTTCACCTTCTCTGCTGTATTTCTCTCCAGTGCACTTACTGCCATGGTATATACGACTTATCTCAATGATTTTCTTATTGCCTGTCTCCCCACTAGAATGTAAACTCCAAGAGAGTAGGGGGTTTTGTCCATTTCATTCACTGCTCTGTCGCATGTACTGCTAACATGCTTGGCACATAGCAGATACTCAGTAAATATCTGTTATTCAGCCAAGCAAATATTTGAATGTGTCAGGGACTGTGCTAACAGCTGGAAATGGGAAGGGGAACAAGACAGAGCCCTGCCTTCAAGGTCATAATAGTAAGAGCTACCATTTATTAAGTGCATATTATGTTCTAAATATGGGCATTGTTCTAAATTACAGTAGTCCCCTTCACCTGTGGTTTTGCTTCCTGCAGTTTCAGTTACCTGTAGCCCAAAAATATTACATGGAAAATTCCAGAAATAAACAATTCATAAGTTTTAAATTGCATGCAGTTCTGAGAAGCCTGATGAAATCTCACACTGTCTCTCTCCATCCCTCACAGAACGTGACTCCTCCCTTTGTCCAGTGGATCCATGCTGTATGGGCCAGCCGCCCGTTAGTCACTTAGTAGCCGACTCGGTTATCAGATTGACTGTCACTATATCACAGTACTTGTGGTCAAGGGACCCTTATTTTACTTAATAATGGTCCCCAAGTGCAAGAGTAGTGATGCTAGCAATTCAGATATGCCAAAGAGAAGCTGTAAAGTGCTTTCTTTAATGGAAAAGGTGAAAGTTCTCAACTTATTAAGAGAAGAAAAAAATCATATGCTGAGGGTGCTAAGATCTACAGTTAACTTTTATTACAGTATATTGTTATTCTCATTCTATTCGTTATTGTTGTTAGTCTCTTACTGTCCCTAACTTATAAATTAAACGCTCATAGGTATGTATGTATAGGAAAAAACACACTGTATATAGGGTTCAGTACTATCCTCGGTTTCAGGCATCCACTGGCGGTCTTGGCACACATCCCCTGAGGATAAGGGGTCACTACTCGATATACGGTACTTTTATTATCTCCATTTCCCAGATGAGGAAATGTCCCTACAGAGGCTGGTAACACGACCAAAAGATCTGAACCAAGGATGTGAGCTCTCCCCTGTGCTAAGCTGCTTCCCAGAGGTACCAGTATTTCAGAGCAGCATCTAGTATGATAGCTTTGTAGAGGCCTATTTTCAGCCATGTAGGATATAATGTTCCTTGCTCACAGTCTCTTTCTGTCCTCAGAGGAAGAAACATGCAGCACAAAGCAGTATTTCTGCAGTTTTTCCAGTTTCCTACCTTTCCTTCTCAATTTTTTTTAAGTTGTTGAGCTCCTCCCTTCTTTACTCCCTCTCTTCCTCCTTCCCTTTCTCTGTCACTTCCCCTCCTCTCCCTCCCTCCCTTCCTTTTTTCTTTCCATCCTTCTTTCCTTTCCAATTTTCTCTCTGCTTTAAACCTCATTGTTTTATTATTTTTTGTTGTTTGTTTATTGGTCTGTCTCCTCCTCTAACTTGAGCCACTTGAAAATCATGAGCCATGTCTTGATCATCTTTATGACTACCCCCAAGGCCTAAGGTAATTCTTGGCACACAGCAGATTTTCAATACATATTTGTCAAAAAAAGAAAATCAGCATTTGAAATCATGAGTTAGGGTCTGGTTAAAATTCATTCATACCAATGTATTTAAAAAGAGAGCAATAACGTGAAATACCTGTGTGAATAAATTTTATCAAAGCTCTCTCTTAAAAGTTATATTTTCTAATTAGGTTTTGCTGATATATAAGGATGGGCGTTTAAAAATATGTTGACCTTGTATTCACCAACCGTTCTGAATTTCTTTTTTTTTTTTTAATTTTATTTATTTTTTCCCCCAAAGCACCAGTAGATAGTTGTATGTCATAGCTGCACATCCTTCTAGTTGCTGTATGTGGGACACGGCCTCAGCATGGCCGGAGAAGCGGTGCGTCGGTGCGCGCCCAGGATCCGAACCCGGGCGGCCAGCAGCAGAGCACACGCACTTAACCACTAAGCCACGGGGCCGGCCCTGAATTTCTTAATTCTAATAATCTGCAGATTTCTTGAAGTTTTCTATGTGGGCAATCCTGCCATCTACAAATCATGATAATATTGTTTATTCATTTCTAATCTTTATATTTCTTATTTCTTTTTCTTTTCTCACTGCATTGGGATGACTTCCAGGTCAGTAATGAATAGAAGTGGTAATAAGATACATTTTTTTTCTTGACTTGATTTTAAAAGGAATATTCCTAATTTTTCATCATTGGTTTTGCTGAAGGTTTTTGGTTGCTTCGTTTTATCAGGTTAAGA